TTAGCTACTCAGTGAGACCCTGTCTCTAAATAAAATACAAAATAAGGCTGGGGATGTGGCTCAGTGTGAGTGCCCCTGAGTTCAATCCCTGGTAGCCGCCCCCTCCCCCCCACCAAATAAAAGCAAATATAAAAATGATCTTGGTAGGGTTGGGGTCATGGCTCAATGCTAGAATGCTTGCCTAGCATGTGTGAGGCACTGGATTTTATTCTCTGCACCACATATAAACAAAGGTCCATCAAAAGTTAATAAAATATTTTTTAAAACAAGAAAAAAGATCTTGGTACCAAGAAATAAGGTTGTATATTCTTGTAAAAGTGTTTTTCAGACATGATTTTTTAAAATGGTAACAGGACATTATAGAGTGTGAATGTTAAGTAGTAATTTAATCAGTCAGGCCTTACATTTTCCCGAAGTTTTTGGTTATCATAAATACTGCTATAAAAATCATTATACGATCTAAAATTTTCTGAACACATATTTACAAAGTGATATAGTGGATGAGAGGGAATAAAGATGTCCTTAAAATTGAGAGAAGTATTGGAAAGAATTAGTAGGCCTTTTATCCCTCAGTTGGTGTTTTGAGTATTGGATTAAAATATTTCCATGTTGTAAAGGTGAGTTCCTTAATAGCTTTCAACTTAACTGTGTAGAAAATATTTTTTAAATCTCCTATCACTGCAATTAATTTTTGCTTTGCAAAAAACATTGCAGTGGGATTGGAGAAATAGCCCAGTGGTGGACTGCTGCCTGGTTGATTCCCCAGCACCTCAATCAATCAATCAAATTGCAATTATGAGAAAATTTGTCCTCAGTTATATCCAGTTAAAGTTATTTTATGTGCCCTGATAATTGAAACAGGGACCAGCTAAGTAGCTTCTTGTGTTTATATATTAACTGATTTCTTTTTTTTTTGATATTTAGAACCTAATCCACCAATAGATCAAGTTATACAGAAACCAGGAGTTGTACAGAGATTTGTGAAATTCCTTGAAAGAAATGAAAATTGTACCTTACAAGTGAGTCTGAAGTTTTCTTTCTTAATCTCTTGTAGAAATGACTTTGAAGTTTCCATATTAAAATTCTTCAATACTGACTATATTATAAGCATTCAGAAAGTACTTGGCAATTAAAGGAAAACATTCTTCTCATCTCTCTTGCCCTGGGCATGATGATAATGCTTGTTTCCTCTAGGAATTGTTATTTTATTAAGCAATATTTTTAAAATATATAAGATTTAATTAATGTTAATAAAAATTCTATGGTTGTTATCCTTCAAAA